ACACACACACTCTCTCTCTCTCTCTCTCTCTCTCTCTCCCTCTCTCTTTGATATTCTCTGTCTCTTGTTAATATATCTGTCATTTGCGAATTACTTCCTTCCCCCTTCCCTTCCTTCCTTCCCCCTTCCCTTCCTTCCTTCCTAACTTCCTTCCTTAGTTTATTCATTCTCTCTCTTTTTCCCCGCTTTGCCGTAGCTGCCCACGCTCAAACAAACACACAAACACGCGCACATAAGTACACGCACAAACACAACACACACACACACACACACACACACACACACACACACACACACACACACACATTAAGCCACTATCACGCATTCATTATATAAAACTGCCACACCAGCGAGTTTCGACCCCGGACCCTCCCCACTGCGCCCCTGGCCCTCCACCGCCGCTGTCACCACACCCCGGGCGGTCAGACGAGAGTTCCCGCCACTATCAGACACCGGCCTGGCCCTCCGTCGCGCGCGCTGGAGACTGCAACACCTCAGACGACCCGTCTTATCGCCGCCCCAGACCGCGCCGCGCATCTCGCTCACACGAGGAGAAGATGAATAATGTACAGCACTGGCCAGCCTGGACCTACCTCCGGCTCGCTTGCTGTCACGACAGTTTCACACAGGTCCGATGTTGCAGAAAAGGCGTAATACTGTAGTAAACACACACCTAGCCTTCTCGGACAAGAAGGAAAGATCTGTGAGGTCTCGTGTGCAAGTTGCGCACGTTAAAGATCATCCCTTGGTGGTCCAAAATCGATAATAGGTTTCGGCCGCCACCCAGGCAAAATTCCTACCAACTGAAAATGTATAATATGTCCTTGCGCTCAAGTGATATTATGCTGTTGTGAGCGCCGTAAAACACTTAATAAAAAAAAGTAAACATGATAGTAGGTAAAATAGTATGCGTAACAGTAGGCGTACAGAGTCAAACTAACTAGATTTGTCTTGTCGTATGTCTGTAAGCGAAGGTAACCTCTGTACAATTCTGTTTGATTTTCTACATCTTGAATTTTCTGTTTTCATCATCCACTGGAAGTCTCGCTCCCAGGTAGAAACTTGAGATTATCAAACGAAAAAAGTTGTGTTCATAATTATTCTAATTACCCACTCTAATAACCTCTGTCCGTCATCGTTAGCACATGAATACGTTTTCCTTTCGCCAAAAAAATATATAATGATAATAATAATGATGATAACAATAATAATAATAGTAATATAATTATTATACAATAAAAGCCTTTCGTATTTTTACTATGATACTGCTTGACTGCAATGACATAATGACTAAAGAAAGAGCAACAATTAATTATCCTTTGTGTAAGTTGCACTTCAGAGATCCAAGTTTACCCTTAGTCCTCGACAAATGAGTACATCAGCCAATGAGATTTCAGGTGGCGTCGGTGGCCTAGTGGTTACGCTACCGGACCCGTAATCGTGATATTGTGGGTTCGGGGGTTCGAGCCTCAGCTCGGTGTTGCGTTGTGACCTTGTGACAGAAACTTTATACGAATTTCCCTGTAGGCTCAGTCCTTTCGGAGAAGGACGTTAAAACTGGGAGATCCCGCTTTTCAAATAACCTCTTAGTGTTTATAGAGACGTTAAACCTATACCATTTTCACCAATGGGATTTTCTACTCCGAGCTGATGAGGGAGACCTGATTGATCGGGCAAGCGTCAAAGTCCAAACGATGGCGCTTCTTGTCAGTGACGCACACTTGTCAACGCTTGTTGAGTGTTATATGTTTTACATTAATATCCTTATCGCTCCTTTTTTCTCTCTCATCTTTCAACCCACTCGCCCTCTCTCTCTCTCTCTCTCTCTCTC